AGGCATTTATACCCAAACTCAGGGACAATGGTGGACCTGAAGCAAAGGAGAACAATCAGATGACATGATGACTTGAGAATTGGTGTGCCATTGTTAAAATCATAGGAATTGAAAAAGAAGCTGGCTTTAAGAGGGCATAATGAGTTTGTTTCTAGATGTACTTAGCTTGATAGTGTGGCATCCTATTAGAAATTCCTCAATTTCTGAGCTATGGAAGAGTTCTCTGTACCTCCAATACCTAATGGAGAACCCAAATGCTATAATATGTCTGTTAAAAGATTTTATCTAATCTGCTCATTCTGTTGCTGCCTTTTAGCTAAATCTATTCCCTTGCTCTCAGAGTAAGGGGATACTTTAATAAGAAGAGAAAGATTTAAGCCCAAAATTGTTGTCTTTGCCTTCTGCTAGTTTTTTAGCTCTGCTTTGATTGATCACTGTGATGGAAACTGAATAGTCTTCTCCCTGGCTGCTGTGTAAGTGGAAGCAGGATGACAAGTTAAGAGGCTCACAAGCTTCTCTGAATCTCTGTAAACCATAAGCTCCTTGAGGGAAGAAATTGTTAATTATTGTATCCACATAGTTTAGCACTGTGCCTGGCAGATGCTCAGTATTAATGAATTGAATAAATGAATGATGAGGCCAAGATTCCAACTTAGATTTTCTTTCTTTTTTTTTTTGTCAAGGATCTGAACCCTTGACCTTGGTGTTATCAGCACCATGCTCTACCAGTTTAGCTAACTAGTGAACCCCCAACTTAGACTTTCAAGAAAGGCTTGTCTGAAGTATCAACACTCCATCTCCCCTGCACACAACCCTTCAAAGACCACCTCTCCACCCTACCATAGACTAGGTTGGATGTTCTTCCTTTTACCACCAGTGCATCTGTGGTGGATTGATTGTATTTTCCAAAAATGGCCACAATAATATCTCACATCCCACATGTTCTTCTTATGGTTTAACTTTGACACTCTTCCCACTAAGAGGTGAAGTCTATTTCCCTCCCCTTGAATTTGAGATGAGGTCATGTGATATGGCTTCCTTCTGATTCTCTTGGGATGCTTGCTCTTGGAACCCAACCACCATGCTGTGAGGAAGCCCAAGGTACCCTGTGTAGGGGCCCACATGGAGGGGAACTGATAGCCAGCATCAAGTTGCCAGCCATGTGAGTGAACTATCATGAAAGTGGATCCTCCAGCTCCAAGCAATCCATCCCAGTTTATACCTTTTAAAGTAGAAATGATCCATCCCCACCGAACTTGGCCCAAATTGCAGATTTATTAACAAATGATGGTGGTTAAAAACTTAAGCCACTTCAGTTTGGATGGTTTCTTAAGCAACAATAGGTAACTGGAACAGCATCTTGTGTTTGCCATGCAGGAAGGTGGTACAACTCAGTGTCTAGCTGGGTGGGTATGACTGCCTTGGTTCAAAGCCTGCTACTTATTAGTTGTATGACTTTTGGCAAGTTACTTAACTTTTGTGTGCTTCTGTGTCCTTTTTTTCAGTATAAATTAAAAAAATAGTACCTACTTCTTGTTTGTTTGGAGAACTAAGTGATTTAATGCAGGTAAATGCAAATCTGCAGGTAATACAGATCAATCATTGTGATCATCTTGTCAGACAAGCCTCTGATCATATGACCATAACACTCTTATGTGATTCTATTTCTTTGTCTTTACAGTACTTTCATTATGTACATGTGTGTGTCTGTGTATATATTTATACATTATATATGTGTGTGTGTATACAGTATAACTTTTAGTGCTATCTGAAATGATCTTGTCTACTTGTTTATTGTTTATCCTACCAAGAGTGTAAGCCCCAATAAAGCAGGAACCTTGTCTCATTCACTGCTGTATCCCCAGTACCTTGCACAAAGTGCTTAATAACTTTTATTTTGTTACCGAATGGCACAAAGTGTTTAATAACTATATTTCGTTGATGAACGAATGAATAGCACTTTTCACACTACTTGTGGAAGATGTTGCTAGTTCCTACCCAGTATCCATTCTCTCCTTCCATAGTAGTAGACCCTGCTTTTGTTTGGGATGTCAATATAAAATACTCATTGTTCCAGACTCCCTTGTAGCTAAGGGTCATCATGTAATGCTTTTCCTATCAATGAGACATAGTCAAAGGTCTGCTAAGGATATCTGAGAACATTTTTTTGCCTTCTTGATATAGGCACTGCCCTTTCTTCCATTCCCTTTTCCTCCTTCCTGATTGCAATACAGGCTAGAAGTAGAGCAGCCAAAAATTTGGTAAGCATGAAGACAAAAATGGGGAAACAGGAGACACCTGAGACATTGATGATATAGTGGAGTCACTATTCCACTAACTCCATACCTCTTATTGTGTGACTATATTAACCCTTTGTAGTTAAGCTCCAACAGCCAAGCTTCTGTTACTTGCAGCCAAATGTTACATTCTCAACTGATAACATTATGGTGAATACCTACCCCTCTAGGCTGATCATTAAGGGCAAGCCTACACACACACACACACACACACACACACACACACACACACACACACACACATATACCATCTTCCATACTACTCTATAGGGGGGTTGGAAGAATTTATCATCACAAATATTATTCGCTATCCAGATCTCTTCAGCTCTCTTCAAATAGTGACAGTGGTCAGGTAGCAAGGGACACCACATTATCTGAGGCGATTTGGCTCTTGAGTTCACACAGATTTCAAATAGTGGGGGGGTTACATAGTATTTCATCCCTGAAGTGAACATTTGTTTCTTGTCACTCTATGCTAGGCACTAGGCTATTGGGGATACGAGATGATTTAGTGAGATGATTCAGGCTGGGTGCCCAAGTTCCCACTAAACAATAAGCACTCAGTGCTGGCTGGTTTCTCAGTTGGTTAGAGTGCGGTATTATAACACATTATCTTTGTTTAGATAATCAAGATCAAAGGTTCGGATCCCCATACCGGCCAGCCACATTAGAAAAGAAAAGAAAGGGAAAAAAGCTCCCGAAGGGCACTTGGTTGCATATCTGTTTGTTTTTTTTTTTTTTTTTTCCTTTTTTTTGTCTTTTTTCGTGTCCGGCAACGGATCGCAACCCTCAGTGTCGCGCC